GCGCCGCACCCCGGGCTCGGGGCGCTCCGGGACAGCAGCCCCGCGGGTCGGGCGGACGCCTCTGCTGGGAGTCGGCAGCCTCACTGCGCAGATGAGCACGTTCGCAGTCTGGTTCCATCGCGTTTCTTTTCGCTTTTTTTGGAGACAGAGTCTCAGTATACAGCCCAGGCTGGCTTCAGACTCACCCCGATCCTCCTGCCTCAGCCTCCCAAGGCTTTATTTCACTTTAATAAAAATGGAGGGAGTTAAGAAGAATTAAGATGTGGTATGCACGTGCATCAGAACTCCCGAGTGACGTGATCACCGCGCACCGCAGAAGTGCGAGGCATGGTAAAGGCTGCTCGGAATGAGGCCGACGAGCCTACTTCACAGGTGAAGACGCAGGCACGGGGGGAAGCAGAGTCACAGGCCATGTGAGGAGCAGAGTGGAAATTGCCGCGTAATTTCTCTGACTCAGACAGAAGCGGTTCTCCATCAAGAAAAAGTCACTTCACAGTCGGCCCAGGGATCATGCATCCGGCTTCGCCTCTTCTTTCCTCTTTCCTCCTACGGATATCTCGGGTCTAGAACACAGCAAGTGTTTGGAGCCCCGCACCACGTGACTTGCACAAGAAGGACACGAGCTGAATTCTGGGCCCCAAGTTACACATCTGCAGAGTGACTGTAATCGCAGCTGCCCTTGGGAGGACCCTTGAGGTTCTGCTCCGTTACAGGAGGGGCTTAGGCGGCTGTCACTGCCTGCTAGCAACCCACAACACATTCCTGTAAGCGTCAGTGTAATTTAAAAGTGTTCTTTAAGCTGGGCATGGTTGTGTATACCCGTGATCCCAGCACTCAGGAGGCTGAGGCAGGAGAATCACTCTCAAGGTTGAGGCCAGCCGGGGCTACATAGTGAGCTGGAGGCCAGCCTGAACTGCATAGGGAGACCCTGCCCAGACAGCCATACACACACACACAGATCCAGAGAGATTATGGGCTGGTAGTCCTGACAGCCAGCCTGCTGCTACTCCAAGGAGAAAGAGCTAGGCCTCGGACGACTCTGGGAGGGGGAGAAGGACCAAGGGACAGCTCTGGGGAGGGGACCGGCCCCCTGCACCCCCACCCTCCTCCTGTGCTGGGCACCCACACAGGGCCCAAGTATGACTTTCACAGTCGGATGTTTTTCCTTTAGAGACGAGAGCTTCACACTGCACAGGCTCAGGGCGAGATGCCCCCACCTCCCTGTGACCGGGTGGGGATCAGGTGCTGGGGCAGGATGTCCAGCCCAAGTTCAGTCCCTGGGACAAGGCAGCAAAGGGTGCAGGGTGGGCGGGGCCAGGCCCGGACCTGTCTTTGTGTTTGCTTGAAACAGGGTCTCATCATGGAGCCCAGGCTGGCCTCGAACTTGTGGCAGTCTTCCTGCCTCTGCTTCCTAGGAGCTGGGATTCCAGGTGTGCGCCAACACGGCCGGCGTGGACCTGTCTGGGGTCTCCTTCTGTGTCCCCCAACTGCCCCTCGACGTAGAGGACCCAGCACACTGTACACGGTGACACAGCGACTCAAGGGGAACGGGCCCTTCTGTGTCCTCAGGGCCGCTTTGAACAAATCCTTCTCCTTTTATACCAAAATCAGCGGCCTCCTCTGCCTGGGTCAGGGGCGCGCCTGAGCCGGCGGATGCACGTGATTAGGGCTCAGCACCAGCAGCCTCCTGAGGGTGGACGATGTCAGAACCCCCCCCCCCCGGGCCAACCTGCCGCTCAACGAGGCTGAGCCCTGCTGGTGCAATGGCACCTGTCTGTAAAGCCGGCACCAAGGGAGGCTGAGGCAGGAGGGTCAAAAGTTGGCATCTGGCCAAGGGCAATCCAGTCAGACCCTATGTCAAAATAAAGCATTTTAAAAAGGGGCTGGGATGCGGCCCAGTGCTACAGCGCTCCTGGGTTCAATTCCCAACACCAAAACTTAAAAACACAAAATCTCTGAGGTGATCGCCACGTGTAGATGGTGTAGGGGGATACCTTGTTTCCCAGCGTTCCGTGGGCTTGTCTGTCCCGAGCTCTGCAGACACGGCACCGTGCTTCTCGGGTGCCCCGGGAGGGGCACTGGGCACAGACCGAGGCTGCGCCAGGCTGGCCTGGTGGGGCAGCACGGGAAACTCCAGCTCAAAAGGGTCGGGGACCAACCTGGCCCCCTCAAGCTGTCCGGTCAGCCAGCACCCGCATTTTGCATTTATTTAGGGTTTGGGGTGGGGTGTTGAGGCAGGGTCTCTCTGCGCAGCCCCAGCTGGCCTTGAACTCACAGCGGTCCTCCTGCCTCAGCCTCCCAAGTGCTGAGATTACAGGCGTGCGTCACTATGACAGGCCAGGGGCTCCCCAGGGAGCCGTGGGTACCCACATGTGCTTGGGAACACGGGCCCACTCAGGAGGACCTGGAATCGGCCTGCACTGCCCTGCGAGCCCAGGTTCCGAGGAGGAGCGGGGTCGTCGGAACTGCCAAGGAGCGGGACACCAGGCCGCGGGGTTCCCATCTGGAAGGCCCGGCAGAGTGGCAGGAGGGTCAGTCCTTCCAGGGCCTCGCTGAGCAGGGCGTCAGGAGGGCGAGGGACTCGGGGTGTGTGCCCAGCAGGCCTGGCGAAGAGCATGTGACCACCAGGTCCCTTTGACTCTGGGACACAGACAGTGGTTTTATTTATTTACTTATTTATTTATTTTCCAGTACCAGGAATTGAACTCACGACCTTGCACTTGCCAGACAGGCACTGTGCAGCTGAGCTGAATCCCCAGCCCCCACAGACAGTGTTGAGGGGAGAAACTTTTGGTGGGAAAAAAATAAAGAGAGATTGTGGGTGTTTTTCTTTCTTTCCTTTTAAAAATCTGTTTCTGTTTGGTTTTGTCTTTTCAAGACAGGTTCTCAAAAAAAAAAAAAAAAAGACAAGGTCTCACTACACCGTTCAGGCTGGCCTTAGCGTGGCAGAGATCTTTCTGCCTCAGCCTCCACAGGCATGTGCCGCCCTAATGGTAAGTTTTTTTAAAAAAAAGTATTTTTGAGATGGGATCTGGCTAAATCACTTAATTGCCCAGGCTGGCCTCCACATGCAGTCCTCCTGCCTCAGCCTCCTGCAGTGCTGGGATTACTTGCCTTTGCCACCTGGCCCGGCCTCCTTTTCCATGTACACACGTGTGATACCTGGTGGGGGGGACTCTAGGATGTACTTTGGAGGCAGCGCACTTATCTGGCATGCGTAAGCCCTGGGTTCAATCCTCAGCACCACAAAAAAAACAAAAGAAAACAAAGGAAAGGAAAGGAAGAACCCCGCTGGCGACCTGTGGAGGTGGGCCCCGGGCCCGCCGGAGTCACCCGGGAGCAGCTTCTCGGCGGCTGTGGACTCAGAGGTGCCCTCCACCAGGGCCCTGAAGCCCGCCTCCGGGCGCCGGCGCGGGTGCTCAGGGTGTGGCTCTGCGCTCCGCGCCCGCCCGGGTGAGGCGAGGTGTGCGCAGCTGCCGTGATCCCAGCTACCCGGAGGCGGCAGAGGCCCGCTCAAGGCCCCGGAACGCAGGAGGGGCCCGGCCTCGGAGAGGCCGGGGAGGCCGGGCATGCCGGCGGGGAGGGGCCCCGGGTTCGGGCCCAGCTTGCACAGCCGGGAGCACGCCGGACCAGCCACGCAGCAAGACGCCGTCTCAGAGCCCCCAGATCCCGGAACCCCGACCCACGGACGGAGCCGGCCGAACCCCGACAGCAGCCCGCGCCCCTCGCTGGCTTCCCCGCGCTCTCGCGAGCGCCGCTGCCCGGGGTCCGCGCCCGCTCCTCCTGCGCCCGGGCCTCAGTCCCGCCTTTCCGCCGCGGACCCGGGCCTGAGCGCAGGCCTTGTGCGGGCCACACGAGTGCTCCGCGCTGAGCTGCTGCCCGGCCCCTTCGCGGTTTTTTCTTCCTTTTTTTTTTGAGTCAAGGTCTCACTTTGTAGTTTGGGCTGCCTTAAACTCAAGGTGATCCTCCTGCCTCAGCTTCCCAGCGGCTGGGATTGATCACAGGCGGGGCACGCCACCCCACCCGGCTCTAAAAGCATGTTAGGTTTTAAATCATGAAAGCGGCTTTAAATTTGTTTTGGTGTCTCTAAATTAAAGGGTAGAAAAAACACAAGCGAGTCAGGGACAGGAATGTCATTCGAGAAGGCTGGACTTTGGTCTGGGGCGGCTTGGGAAACTGGGGGACAGGGCAGCAGGCAGCCAGAGGCTGAGCTTCCTTATTGCAAAAGTCTGGGCTCCGGGAGGCAGGTGAGGGACACCTGGAATTGCCCGCAGGAGGCCGAGTCACCCCGCCCTCCGCCGGTCGGGAGTGGCCCGCGGCGCCTCCGCAGGCGGGCGGGGTGCATGGGGCCGCGGCTCGGCCCCGATAAGGCGGCAGGGCCGGGCGCCCCGGGTGACCCCGGCCCGGGCTTTCGTCAGCCGCGCTGCAGGCCCGCCCAGTCGCCTTATCCGGCCCGGCAGGCTGGGGGGCGCCTTGGAGCCCGAGGACAGACAGGCGGCGCACGTGACGCAGCTTAGCCGGCGCGGAGGCCTCAGAAGTGAGCTGGGGCAGGAACGGCAAGTCGGGCTCGGCTCGGGGAAGGCCGCCTGGCCGGGGACAGGCCGTGCCCACCGCGGGAGGCCCTGCGCTGCGGCCAGCGCCAGAAAGGAAATGAAAACACGTTAAGAAAAGACTTAAGCCGGGTCTGAGGGCACACGCCTGTAATCCCAGCAATGGGAGGCTGAGGCAGGAGGATCGTTGTGAGTTCGAGGCCAGCCTGGGCTACAAAGTGAGCTCAACACCGGCCTGAACTGCATAGCAAGACCCTGTCTCAAAAAAGCCAAAAAAAAAAAAAAAAAATTTAAGCCAGCTGTAGGGGCAGCTGGAATGACGCCTGTCATTCCAGAGCA